TTAATTATTCTAACTGTCAGGAAGTTTCTCCTTAGTTCCAGTGTTGCTTCTCTCCTTGATGAGTTTCCATCCGTTGCTTCTTGTCCTGCCTTCAGGTGCTTTGGAGAATAGCTTGACTCCCTCTTCTTTGGGGCAACCCCTGAGATACTTGAAGACTGCTATCATGTCACCCCGGGTCCTTCTCTTCATTAAACTAGACATACCTCCAGTCCCCTGATCATCTTTATTGCTCTTCTCTGCACTATTTCTAGAGTCTCAACATCTTTTTTACATCGTGGTGACCAAAACTGGATGCCGTATTTCAACTGGATGCCGTATTTCTGATATGAATTATGCAAGACGTTGGGGGTTTGGCTGGGAACTATTGTTTAAGTCTATGAATTGGGAACTTCAGAGTTAGTTTTTCTTCAACATAACCAAGCTGTGTATTCAATAAACAGTAACTAAATGAATCTGGAGTTTTATTCGGATTATTTGGATTCCTGAGCTGGATGTTGACAGTCAGTGGAATTCAAGGTGGGCTTAGATGCATACCTAAATTTGAAACACTGCATTGTGCCACACTTGGCTTCCTAACTCTGTAACCTACCTGTGTTATGCAACAGAATTATTCTACCTTTGTAGAGTTATGTCAGGGATCTCCATTTTCAAATAATTGCCAAGGTCTGTTAATACAGTACAAGTAACCCTTGACGTAGGACTGCAGTTGAGCCCAAAGTTTCTTTTGTTAAGCGAGACATTTGTTATGTGAATTTTGCCCTGTTTTACGACCTTTCTCACCACAGTTGTTAAGTGAATCACTGCAGTTGTTAAGTTAGTAGCATGGTTGGTAAGTGAATCTGGCTTCCCCCATTGACTTTGCTTGTCAGAAGGTCACAAAAGGGGATCACATGACCCCCTGGGACACCGCAACCGTTGTAAATATGAGTCCATTGCCAAGCATCTGAATTTTGATCACCTGGCCATGGGAATGCTGCTGGTAGTAAGTGTGAAAAATGGTCATAAGTTACTTTTTTCTGTGCCGTTGTAATTTCAAACAGTCGCTAAATGAACTGTTGTAAGTCAACGACTATCTGTAGTGTATATTCTGGAACTAATAGAATAGAATAGAATAGAATAGAATAGAATAGAATAGAATAGAATAGAATAGAATAGAATAGAATAGAATAGAAAATATGGAATGGAATAGAATAGAATGGAATAGAATAGAATAGAAAATATGGAATGGAATAGAATAGAATAGAAAATATGAAATCGAGTAGAATAGAATAGAATAGAATAGAATAGAAAATATGGAATAGAATAGACTAGACTAGACTAGACTAGAATAGAATAGAATAGAATAGAATAGAATAGAATAGAAAATATGGAATGGAATAGAATAGAATGGAATAGAATAGAATAGAAAATATGGAATGGAATAGAATAGAATAGAAAATATGAAATCGAGTAGAATAGAATAGAATAGAATAGAATAGAAAATATGGAATAGACTAGACTAGACTAGACTAGACTAGACTAGACTAGACTAGACTAGAATAGAATAGAATAGAATAGAATAGAATAGAATAGAATAGAATGGAAAATATGGAATGGAATAGAATAGAATAGAAAATATGAAATCGAGTAGAATAGAATAGAATAGAATAGAATAGAACTGGAAGGGACCTTGGAGGTCTTCTAGTCCAGCCTCCCGCTCAAGCAGGAGAACCTATACCATCTCAGACAAGTAACTGTCCAGTCTCCACCTCCAGGGATGGAGCACCCACTATTTCTGGTGGCAAGCTGTTCCACTGGTTAATTGTCCTCACTGTTAGGAAGTTTCTAGTGGAACAGCTTGCCACTAGAAATTCCAAGTTGCTTCTCTCTTTGATCCGTTTCCAACCATTGTTTCTCATCCTGCCCTCCGGTGCTTTGGAGAATAACGTGATCCCCTCCTCTTCTTTGTGGCAGCCCCTCAAATACTGGAATAGCTGTTATCATGTCTCCCCTATTTCTTCTTTTCTTTAGACTGGCCAAACCTAAGTCCTGCAGCCGTTCTTCGTATGTTTTAGTTTCCAGGCCTTGGATCATCTTAGTTGCTCTTCTCTCAACTTGTTCCAAGATCTCAACATCTTTTTTGTGATTATGGTGACCAAAATTATAATAAATGTCGCAGGAAATTTAATGACCAGGTAACTGGAGAAGGCTGACCTAAACAAACTATTATATCAATTAAATATTAAACTGAATAAAAATGCAGTGGACCTGAATTGGGAAAACGCAGCAAAATATCCCTTCTAAAACAGGTTAAAATTCTCTTCTGTTAAGGGAAAACCTGAAGTCAGTGGTATTTAAACTGTTTGCCCTTCAGATATATTTAAGAAGTTTATGTCATCTGTCTAATAAATCGGAACTTCCTTTCAGCTGGCCCAAGCTATAAGTTCACATCTGGATAAACATATAGGATTACATCTGTAAGGTTTTTAATCTCAAGACATTTAACTAGACATGCCCTTAGAGGGATTATTTCTGGGTAAACGTGCTTAAGACCAAGCTGGGAACGGTTCCAGTTCATGAATCAGCAAAACATATCATCCTTATTAATAATATTCTGAATCAGGAAAGAAAAGTGGAGTCCCAAAGTCATTCAAAAGGCAACTGTCACGTTTCCGACAGATGAAACTCTTCTAAAGAACTTCCAGGCATTGTTTACCTTCAAGAATCTTTATTTTGAGCAGCATAACTTCGGCACTGCATAATCAAAGCCAAAATCTGAATTCCCCTCCCCTGAGCACCTAGTATCAAAGCACAATTCCCTCCTCCAATTAACAGGCATAAATCACATGCCCCAATTAGCTTGAAGCGCAGGCTTCCTCTCCAGTTCTCCAGCCCACCAAGTCCTTATCAGCTCTGGTTACAATTACCTTGATTCTCACCCTAGATTTAGTGTTGTTATGTCTAGCTCGGCTTTCGTTCACGTCCCCCCCCTCCCAGCATCATCTAATTCTAAAAGCAAAAGGTAAAAGATGGCTGCATTTCCCTTTGTTATCAGTGCAAAAACATCCGATGTTAGCAGCGTTGACAGCAACTTTTCTTTCTTTGTTTTTCCTTGAAGACATTTCGCTGCTCATTCTAGAAGCTTCTTCAGTTCTGATCAAATGGGAGAGGATGGAAGGATCTATATTCCTTGTAGTCATCTGGTCGTTAGTGCTCTTAGCAGGCATATAAATCCTTTCATTCTCCACCGTTCCGTTGGAACTGAAGAAGCTTCTTGGATCAGAAGTGAGATGTTTTCAAGGAAAAAACAAAGTCCAGTTGCCTTTTGAAAAAACATCTTTGGGATAACCGCGATCTGGATGACGGAGACTCTCCATAGAAAATAATCAAGGATAATAATAATCAATATAATAATAATAATAATAATAATAATAATAATAATAATAATAATAATAATAATAATAATAATAATAATAATAATAATAATAATAATAATAATAGGAAAGTTGGAAGGAACCTTGCTCCAACCCCCTGCTCAGGCAGGTAACCCTATACCATTTCGGACAAATGGCTGTCCAGTCTCTTCTTAAAAACTTCCAGTGTTGGAGCATTCACAGCTTCTGGAGGCAGGTTGTTCCACTGGTTAATTGTTCTAACTGTCAGGAAGTTTCTCCTTAGTTCTAGGTTGCTTCTCTCCTTGGTTAGTTTCCATCTGTTGCTTCTCAGGTGCTTTGGAGAATAGCTTGACTCCCTCTTCTTTGGGGCAACCCTTAAGATACTGGAATACTGCTATCATGTCCCCCCTTGTCCTTCTCTTCATTAAACTGGACATACCCAATTCCAGCAGCCGTTCCTTATATGTTTTAGCCTCCAGTCCCCTAATCATCTTTGTTGCTCTTCTCTGCACCCTTTCTAGAGTCTCAACATCTTTTTTACATCGTGGTGACCAAAACTGGATGCAGGATTCCAAGTGTGGCCTCACCAAGGCCTTGTAAAGTGGTATTAACGCTTGAATGGTTAACAAATGAATGGTTAAGTTAAGGACTACCTGTAGGACTTCCGTCTGCAACTCCCTTTATCACTTTTGCTGCTCTTGCTGACAGCTGTTCCCATTTGTGCAACTGCTTCTTCTGATACAAGGTGCAGAAATGGGCAGGTGGGTCCATCCCAGTGGCTCAGAGTGGATAATTAAGCGTAGAAATGACATATCAGATCTTTCAGAAGGCGAAAGGGTCCTTAAGAGTAGAAAAATCTGCTCATTTTTTCTGAATATTACCCTGGGTCAGTGTTCGCGTTGGCCGTGAGCTCTCAAAAAGCTATTAGTAGTGCATTTGTGCGTGGCTGTTAGTATGGCTTACTACTCTCAGGAGGTTAGGGTTGACTTCTGAAACATCCTATTTTTCTTACCTCGTGGAGATGCCAGCCAGAAAAAGGACTCCGTTTCTCGTGCCATATCCGAATTTTGAATAAAGTACCCAGATCTGGAAGCTCAATCTATACAAATAAGCATAAACGCGTTAACAGAATAACAAAGTTGGAAGGGACCTTGGAGGTCTTCTAGTCCAGTGATGGTGAACCTTTTAGAGACCGAGTGCCCAAACTGCAACCCAAAACCCACTTATGCATCGTCGGGTGCCGGGTGGGTGTGGCCCATTGGCTGGGTGTGGCCCATTGGGTGGGCATGGCTGTGGTGGTAACGGCAGACTGGGTGGGACTAAAAAGTTCAATCAACCAATTCCAACTTTGCAAGATCTTTTTTTTTCCTGCGAGAAGTTGAAATTGACTGATTGATTGAACCTTTTTTTTTTGTCTCGGCGGCGGAGGCCTAAAGCGAAAAGGTTTTATAAAACCCAGCTGAAGGCCTAGGACTGGGGCGACGGTGCGCGTGCCCACAGAGAGGGCTCTGCGTGCCGCCTCTGGCACCCGTGCCATAGGTTCGCCACCACTGTTCTAGTCCAACCCCCTGCTGAAGCAGGAGACCCTATACTATTTTAGACAAATGGCTGTCCAGTCTCTTCTTAAAAACTTCCAGTGTGGGAGCGTTCACAACTTCTGGAGGCAGGTTGTTCCACTGGTTAATTGTTCTCACTGTCAGGAAGTTTCTCCTTAGTTCTAGGTTGCTTCTCTCCTTGATTAGTTTCCATCTGTTGCTTCTTGTCCTGCCTTCAGGCGCTTTAGAGAAGAGCTTGACCCCCAATTCTTCTTTGGGGCAACCCCTGAGATACTGGAACGCTGCTATCCTGTCCCCCCTCGTCCTTCTCTTCGTTAAACTAGACATACCCAATTCCAGCAACCGTTCCTTGTATGCTTTAGCCTCCAGTCCCCTGATCATCCTTGTTGCTCTTCTCTGTACTCTTTCTAGAGTCTCAACATCTTTTTTTACATCGTGGTGACCAAAACTGGATGCAGTATTCCAAGTGTGGCCTTACCAAAGCGTTGTAAAGTGGTATTAATACTTCATGTGATCTTGATTCTATCCCTCTGTTAATGCAGCCTAGGATTGTATTAGCTTTTTGGGCAGCTGCCTTATTCATGCTAACACATTTCTATCACAAGCGCAGCAATGCTGGACCAGAAAAAAAATATGAACATTTTCTGTGAACTAATCAATGCTTCAATCAGTGTACTTTGATGACATTAAATAATAAATCCATGGTTTATTAAAAAGGCAACAGTGGCCAAAACTGACTGAAGGTGGTGCGAGAATGTAGGGAGCGTTCAAGACGCAGCTGTCTTGTGAAATTGTGGGCATTAATTTTAATTTTACTTTTAATAAAGGGGAATTTTGGTAGCTCACAGCTGAAACGAGGGCTCCTTCGTGATCTCCGAGCTTGGTTGTTTTCTTGCAGACATTTCATTATTCAAACTAGGCAACAGTGCGAATTTTAGGTGTGTTTTTTTAAAATAAATAAATAAATAAAAGTAGACATCTGCAAGCACCATTAACTGATTTCATCTTGGGTATTGTTGACTATTCTGGGCTGGCATAAAGGATTTCAGAGTTCTTGATTATGGCACAGATAAAAACCTACAGTAGATGAGAGGCAAATGCCCAGAATTGCATATCTTGGGGTAGATAATTTTTTTTCTCCTTCCAAGGGTTATACAGCGACAATACCAAAGTAAAAAGGACTGTTCCTTTTTTTATTTTTAACACAAAATACTGTCGGTTAAGTCTTCCAAGAAGCAATTGGGCCAGGCTATCCATAGGTATCCATGGATACGTGAGGATCTGGCATAGCATAGCTGGCTGAGGAATTCTGGGAGCTGAAGTCCACCAGTCTTAAAGTTGTCAAGGTTGCAGACCCCTGGTTCTAGGTCAATAGTAGAACCAGGAAAATACATTTCCTAGAACTATAAACAGAAGCAGAATGACTTGGATTGGAAGGGACCTTAGAGATCTTTGAATCCAACCTGCTGCTCAAGCAGCAAACCCAATAACATTTAGCTTTGCATCCCATCCTGCCAGCCTGACATTAGCCATCTGCACTCTTTCCAGAGTCTCAACATCTTTTTTTATATTGTGGCGACCAAAACTGGATGCAATACTTAAAACAAAAAAAACAGGTTGCCTTCAAAATGAAAGCAACGCCTTGTAAGAGCACACTTATTTACATTTGATTTTTTAATTTTTGATTGACCTCATGGAGGTTGGGGGGACAGATGGAGACAGCCAAAGGGCCAGATGTGGCCCAAGGACTATAAAATGTCCAGGTCTGCTCCAGGCCCTGAAGGGGGAAGGATGGAAGGCTGAGTCAACCTGGAGCCGGTCAGGATCGAACTCCTGGCAGCGGGCAGAGTTAGACTGGAATACTGCATTCTAACCACTGTGCCATCATGGCCCTTCCTTCCTTCCTTCCTTCCTTCCTTCCTTCCTTCCTTCCTTCCTTCCTTCCTTCCTTCCTTTCCTTCCTTCCTTCCTTCCTTCCTTCTTTCCTTCCTTCCTTCTTTCCTTCCTTCCTTCCTTCCTTCCTTCCCTCCCCTTCCTTCCCTCTCCTTCCTTCCCTTCCTCCCTCCCTCCCTCCCTCCTTCCTTCTTTCCTTCCTTCCTTCCCTCCCTCTCCTTCCTTCCCTTTCCTTCCTTCCCTCTCCTTCCTTCCTTCCTTCCTTCCTTCCTTCTTTCCTTCCTTCCTTCCTTCCTTCCTTCCTTCCTTCCTTCATTCCTTCGCATTTAGCCATAGCACTTAGACTTATATGCCACTTCACAGGGTTTTACAGCCTGCTCTAAGTAGTTTACAAAGTCAGCATATTGCCCCACACAATCTGGGGTCCTCATTTTACCGACCTCAGAAGGACGGAAGGCTGACTCAACCTGGAGCCCTGTCAGGATCGAACTCCAGGCTGTGGGCAGAGTTTGCCTGCAATGTTGCGTTCCAACCCCTGTGTCACCACGTTGCGAATAACAACATTTCCACTGAGCCTTGAAGCACAAATATAACGCAAGAAATCCTACCATGAACTTGTCAGTTTGACCAGCTTCAAAGTTGTCAGAGTTATTGTCCAATTTCATTTCATCGGATTTTCCTTTGTCACCGTAAACCTGGAGGAAGATGGGAGCGTCTGTTCCTGCACCTTTAATGTCACTTGTCCAGATCCACAGCGACCAAGGATTTTCTATATAAAAAAAATACATTTAAAAAAAAAAATAGATATTTTTAGAAATGACCAGATGGGTGATAAAGGGCAAAACAAATTTTAAAAAGAAAAAAGAAGCTAAAAACAAACTGAGCGTCCGTACATTAACCTCTTTGGATTCACAGTCCTATGAATAGCTTTTTAATTTAATAACTAAAATCACAAGAATAATTGGGGTGATGGTGTTTTTTTTTTGTTCCCTTGCAATATTCCGACACGTATAGCACATTGGGAATTTGGATCAGGCATCCTAGGTTGAATTTCTGCTATCCTTTTGGAGGAGGGAATGGGGTTTGTGTGGAGGAGGAGGAAGAGGAAGAGGAAGAAGAAGAGGAAGAGGAAGAGGAGGAGAAGGACTGTGGAGCCCTTGGTGATCACTGATCTTGGTTGTTTCCTTGCAGACATCTCATTATCCAAGTAGGTAACATCAGCAATACTAGAAGGAAGCGAGGTTTGTGGAAAGAAGGAAGAGGAGGAGGAAAAGGAGGAGGAGGAGGAGGAGGAGGAGGAGGAGGAGGAGNCGACATGATAGCCGTCTTCCAGTATTTGAGGGGCTCCCACAAAGAAGAGGAGGGGGTCAAACTATTCTCCAAAGCACCAGAGGGCAGGAGAAGAATATATATATATTGCTGGTGGGAGAAAGAAAGCTTGAACAGCTGTTCCAGGGCATCTTAGGACAAGAAGCAACGGGTGGAAACTCATCAAGGAGAGAAGCAACCTAGAACTAAGGAGAAACTTCCTGACAGTTAGAACAATTAACCAGTGGAACTACCTGCCTCCAGAAGCAGTGAATGCTCCAACACTGGAGGTTTTTAAGAAGAGACTGGACAGCCATTTGTCCGAAATGGTATAGGGTTTACTGCCTGAGCAGGGGGTTGGACTAGATGACCTCCAAAGTCCCTTCCAACGTTTTTATTATTATTATCATCATCATCATCATCATCATCATCATCATCATCATCATCATCATCATCATCATCATCATCATTATTATTATTATTATTATTATTATTATTATTATTATTATTATGTCCTTACCTTCTGGCAATACCAGCCACAGCTGATGCCAGCGTTATCGTGCCCGATGGAGATGCGACTTAAGGGGCTCAGGAGAGCCGCAATCTCGATGTTGAAAAGGTCGGTCCTGCTCCGTTCAAACTTCCCTCCTTCCAGAAAAATCTTCCCACTGTTTTTCAGCCCTTTGGAGCCGTGCATGACGATATGAATCTTGGAGTTGGTGCCTGCCCCTCTGACATCCCCGGTCACCACTGCCACGTTGTACACAATACCTGAGTGGGTGGGAGGGGAGTGCGATAAAGCAGAATGCGAAATGGAGTTACCCACAACGACCTTACTCGTGATGTGCTTATTACTAATGTCTAGTGACTGTCTCCATCGTATTCAATGTACGGCTGTCTCAAGGGAACGATAGCCCCTTTCTGACCTGTGGACTTCAACTCCCAGAATTCCTGAGCCAGCCATTCCGTTCCATGTTCTATTCTATTCTATTCTATTCTATTCTATTCTATTCTATTCTATTCTATTCTATTCTAATTCTATTCCATTCTATTCCATTCCACTCCATTCCATTCCATTCCATTCCATTCCATTCTATTCTATTCTATTCTATTCTATTCTATTCTATTCTATTCCATTCCATTCCTCTTCCATTCCATTCCATTCCATTCCATCTGTTCTATTCTATTCTATTCTATTCTATTCTATTCTATTCTATTCTATTCTAATTCTATTCCATTCTATTCCATTCCATTCCACTCCACTCCATTCCATTCCATTCCATTCCATTCCATTCTATTCTATTCTATTCTATTCCATTCCATATTTTCTTTTCTTTTCTATTCTATTCTATTCTATTCTATTCTATTCTATTCTATTCTATTCCATTCCACTCCATTCCATTCCATTCCATTCTATTCTATTCTATATTCCAATATTTCCAAGGTCCCTTCCAGATGATATTCTACTCTACTCTACTCTACTCTACTCTACTCTACTCTACTCTACTCTACTCTACTCTACTCTACTCTACTCTACTCTACTCTACTCCATTCCACTCCATTCCATATTTTCCATTCCATTCCATTCCATTCTAAACTTCAGCAGGTATCTTTCAACATTGAAATTCTGAATATCTTTCAATAAAAAGAATCTGAAAAGGAGCAAGGGCTGAACAGAAATTCAGTGAGTTTAGCTATCAGGGAACGAGGCTAAGCAGAGATGGACATATACGTTTAAGTTAATACTGATGACCCAGCTTCATAATCCTCTTAAGGAGATTCTACTAAGGTCATCACACCTTCCCTATTTCGTCTTTTCTTTAGACTGGCCAAACCCAAGTCCCGCAGCCGTTCTTCGTACGTTTTAGTCTCCAGGCCTTGGATCACCTTAGTTGCTCTTCTCTGATTTTTTTTTCCCAAACTCTCAACGTCTTTTTTGTGATAGGGTGATATTTGTTTGGGATCTGCTGCAGTAGGAGAACTTCCATGAGCCACAGAATGAAGGCACGTCTGTTTTCTAGCCAAAATTCTTCTGCATAAAGTGACTGGATATATATATTTTTTCCCTCATCAAATAATTGCTGAGATGAATAATGGAGCTGCTTCAAAAGGGCAGCTCACGCCGACGGAGGCTGGGAATCCGCTGGCAGGAATCTCGGATTAGGCTCAGCTTCCCAGCATGCACGCTGTTCGCCCAGATGCTTCTGAGTTCTGCATTCGCGTGCCCCCCCCCCGGTTTCCTTCCCCAGGGAGCAGGGGATTCTGGGAAGCCTATTAGTGCACCGGCCTGGCTTGGAGCAGAATTCCCCAGAGGAGCCCTGGGATGCTTTTTTGAAATTTTTTGGATTGGGCACTCACCCATTTTGAGTCTGACTTGCAAGATACAATGGCCTAACTTGATAAAACACTAAGACAATAAGCCAGCGGAACAAAACAAAACCTCTGAACTGTTTCCTGCAGTTGTTGTTGTTGTTGTTGTTTTATTCCCCTCTCTGTCTTATTTGCTCTTCTTTTAATTGGATGGAAGAGAATTGGCTTTTGACATTCCCTTCAAACCAGAAGGAAATCTCCGTGCAATTATCATGGGCGGAAAGGATGACAAATTGCCAAGACTAAAACAATTAACTGGAATTGGGTTTGGCTAGCCTAAAGAAAAGAAGAAACAGGGGCGACATGAAAGCAGTATTCTCATATTTGAGGGGCTGCCACAAAGAGGAGGAGGGGGTCAAGCTATTCTCCAAAGCACCAGAGGGAAGGACGAGAAACAATGGAGGGAAACTGACCAAAGGGAGAAGCAACCTGGAATTAAGGAGAAACTTCCAAGCAGGAAGGACAATGAACCAGTGGAACAGCTGGCCACCAGAAATCGTGGGTGCTCCATCACTGGAGGTTTTTAAGAAGAGACTGGACATTCACTTGTCTGAGATGGTATAGGTTCTCCTGCTTGACCAGCGGGCTGGACTAGAAGATCTCCAAGGTCCCTTCCAGCTCTATTCTCTGTTCTATTCTATATTCCAATATCTATTCAATTCCATATTCTAATTTCTATTCTATTCTGTTCTGTTCTGTTCCATATTCCATATTCCATATTCCAATTTCTATTCTACTCTACTCTACTCTACTCTACTCTACTCTACTCTACTCTACTCTACTCTACTCTACTCTACTCTACTCTACTACACTACACTACACTACACTACACAACACTACACTACACACTACTCTACACACTACACTACACTACACTACATTACATTACACTACATTACATTACATTACATTACATTACATTACATTACATTACATTACATTACATTACATTATATTATATTATATTATATTATATTATATTATATTATATTATATTATATTATATTATATTATATTATATTATATTATATATGGTAAATATGAATGTCCTGACTCTTTCTGTGCAATTATATCTCTTCAACCCCCTTGGTTTCCTCTGGTTCACTTAAACCTCAAAAGAAGACATCAAGAAGGACCCAGGCTTTTGGGTTTGTTTGTTTGTTTTGGTTGGTTGGTTTTTTTATCTTTCAGTCTGGGAGCTTTGGGGACTTCTGATCTTCAGCCTCAAGGTGAAGGAAAGATGTGCCATTTAGAAAAAAAAGCACCAGCACTTTCTCAAAGCATAAAGGAAGCTCAATAGCCATCACTGGGAGAAATGCAAAAGAAATGATCAAGCACTGTGGCTGTATTTACATCTTTACCCAGGTTGAGTAAAGATTTAGCAGCTGCATTTCCACAACATGCTAAGCTAGCTTTGTGTGTTAACCTCCATATTCTATTCTATTCTACTCTACTCTACTCTACTCTACTCTACTCTACTCTACTCTACTCTACTCTACTCTA